CCATCTAGTATCAAGGAATGTGCTAGTTTCGTTCGACCAGCAGAAACAGGGGATCTAACTGGGCTGCGGTATCTGTACACGAGTATCATGTTCTTCAGTTTCTGAAAGCCGACGTATAGAATCTGAAGTTCGCTAAAACATGGGGATTGTTACGCATCTCTTGTGCATCTTTTAAAGCAAGAAGCATCAACTTGATTTACAGATAAACGCTTATAAAAATTGTTGCTCTAACAAGTGTTGACTATTTATGTTCGGGATCCCCTTTTGTTCTACAGGGATTATACTCTTCAAATTCAGTGGCCATCGTTTCAGGCAAACCATGTGCGCAAGCAAGTTTCCATTAAATATGAAGATTTGAAGCGTGACTTTTCCCATCACAAAGTCATCTCGACCATGATTTGTGCGGGAAATCGTCGTGTACATATGGCCAGTGAAGAGGCGTTGGTTGCGAAATCAGAAGGTCGCAGACCACATATACGAGGATTACCATGGCATCATTCGGCTCTTTCTACTGGCGAATGGACCGGTGTACTGCTGAAGGATGTTCTCTTAAAATACCTGGCACCAGACATTGAGTCTCCAACTCACGAACAACTCTTAAGCGCGGCTCGTCGCGCTGGCATCCGGCATGTGCAGTTTGTAGGTAAGCCAAATTTTCGCGCAATAAAATGCCATCATAAGTATTCCGATTCAGAATGATGTATTCACACGAAACATTGGAAGAAAAACAGAAATTTTCCGTTTCAGGTGCACTCAGGTGATTTTGAAGGTTCTGATCACGTGGTTGTCAACCGTGGTCCAGAACAGAATGACTTTGCGCATGTATCGGCGAAAGTCGATTTTTTTTCATTCTCTCATGTAACATATTGGAATTATGTTTACTTCACTCGATCGGAATGTGGTAGTTCTTTCTCGAGCTTGGTCCAGTCACAATTGCTTATATGGATAATGCGTAGTTTTACCTCACAGAACCTGATGTGTGAGAAAATCTCTGTCATTACTGTCGTCATTAGATCGTCTTCTATACAAGTCAGTTGCCACAAAATTGAACTTTTTATTTTCTTGCTCCACATGGCTTTCGCAACGCATCCAATCGACAGTCAGTTCCTTTTCGACGTGAACTCACCTGATTTTCTATGTTTCAGCTAGTGCACAAATTTATTTGTCAGTCACCGAAAACGCTTCTAAACCCATTCCGTTCAAGTGAAACATCTAACCTCGTTTTAGGTTTTTA